CTTGCTTGGCCATGTGAAACCCTGGGTTTGATCCCCAGTGCTAGAGAAAAAAAATCTGGTGAAAAGGGTCCATCCTTTCTTTCTTTTTTGATACTGGCTATTTAACCCTATGGTGCTCTACTACTGAGCTACATTCCCAGCCAATTCTTTTTTTTTTTTTTTTTTTTTTGGACCAGGGATTGAACTCAGGGAACTTGACCAATGAGCCACATCCCCAACCCTATTGTGTATTTTATTTGGAGACAGGGTCTCATTGAGTTGCTTAGCGCTTCACTTTCGATGAGACTGTTTTTTTTTTTGTTTTGTTTTGTTTTGTTTTTTAAAGAGAGAGTGAGAGAGAGAGGGGGACAGAGAGAGAGAGAGAATTTTAACATTTATTTATTTTTTTCCTTAGTTCTCGGCGGACACAACATCTTTGTTGGTATGTGGTGCTGAGGATCGAACCCGGGCCGACTGGTTTTGAACTCTTGATTCTCCTGTCTCAGCTCCTGAGCTGCTGGGATTACAGGTATGCGCCACTGCCCCCGGCTCCCAGCCATTTTTATGTTTTATTTTGAGACAGGGTCTTACTAAGTTGCTGAAGCTGGCCTCATAATTGTGATCCTCCTGCGTCAGCCTCCCAAGTATCTAGGATTACAGGCGCTTCCTTTCTTAGTATCTTTTCTTTGATATCTTTTCTTGTTGCTTCTGTTGAAAGTCCCTGCAGACACTCTGCTGACAGCCACCTTTCCTTCCATAACTAAGCAAATCCTTTTTCCCTCAGGGATATGAGTTCTTTAGTTTCCTGCTTGCTTTGACTGTGAGCAGATATCAATCTATTTTCAATTATCTGGGAAGTAGTAGATAATATACATAGGTGACACATGAAATTTGGAGATTTTTTTTAACCACCCCTCCTCCTATGGGGTTATTTATCAAAACTAATTGGGAAGCCTCAGTGAGCTGATTTGGCTCTATCTTCCCATGCTGCCTCTGGTGAAGTCGCTAATGAACTCAGTGAAGAGCAAAAGGCAAGCAGCAGGAGGCAGACAGAAAAGGACATGACAAGTCTACCTGATAAACGCCCAACCCTGGAACAATCTAGAAAGTGCACTGGTAGGACTACCCATATTCCCTAGGTCAAATCAGGAATCAGAGTATCCTTTACTTTTCCTTTTAGGATATCCACGGTGCAGAAATTCTTGTATAATAAAGAACTAACAACACTTTGCAACAATGGCTCACGTGTCCTCCTCAGCTCCACAATGTTCCTTCTATAGAAATGAAGCTTTTTGGGGCTGGGGTTGTAGCTCAGCGGTAGAGCGCTCACCTAGCACGTGCAAGGCCCTGGGTTCGATCCTCAGCACCCCATAAAAATAAATAAATAAATAAAATAAAGGCATTGTGTCCAGCTACACCTAAAAAATAAATATTAAAAAAAAATGAAATGAAGCTTTTTATCATCAGGTAATCAGAGGACAGGGGTTTCCAATCAAAACAATCCATACTCATCAGCTTCTCAGCCAGAAGTGATGAGTTCTTTTTAATTTTTTACATAGACCAGGCCTCCTGTGCCTCTCCACCCCCCACCAAAATTAATTTTAAAAAAATAATTTCTATGCATATGGGTATGCATAAGTATACAAGCACATCTTTGCATGCACAAATACACACATGCACACACATATACTCTTAAGATTCTGCAAAACACACATGCTAGTATCAGCAGTGTCTGGCAATGTATTGGAGCCTGCTTTAAGATGGAAACATCTATTTGTTTCCAGCCTCTTGAGATGGTGTGGCTTTCTGCCCAAGGAAACAGGCTTCTTTCCTGATAAGCTACTGCAGCTCAGCTGTAAGCTGTCTATCTCAAGGAGCAATCTCAAGCACAGGATGTCTCGCCAGCTCCTAAAACTCCAGGAGATGACAGAGTTAAATAAGATGCTGATGATTAAAGAGAGGAAGCAGCCAGAATTTCAAAGGCAATAACCAATTTGGGGTTCAATACAAGTAGCAACTTTTGTTTCTCACCTCAAAGAAGGGAGGGTGGAAGAAAACTAAATGAGCTCTCCAAAGTAGGCCTTGGAATCCAAGTTCTTGCAAGGCTTTGCTCAGGATGGTTTTGTAAATGGAGGCTTATCCTAACCTTAACCTTGGCTGAGTCTGCTTTCCTCCCTGCTCATCTACTTCCTGTCCATCCTGTCTTTTATATAGAAGCAGTCAGGAATACTTTTCTCATAATTTCATCTTGAATTCAAGGTTAAAACAAATAGCTAGATGAATATAGGAGTTGGATGGATACGCTTTCCCTGACCAGTTCCAGGCAGAGGGGGGGAGGTGGTACATTCCAGGGCAACCAGTTCTGCTCTGGACCATTCCCTCTTGTCAGAAAAGTTCCTGAGATAGCTAGGACTGCTTGGTCTGGGCAGTGTGATCTTTCAATTAAATTCCATGATGATGTTTATACACACACACACACATATTTTATATATTTACACATATTTATTTATTTGTTTATTGTACCAAGGAGATTGAACCAGGGGCTCTTAACCACTGAACCACATCCCCAGGCCTTTTTATTTTGAAACCGGGTCTCACTAAATTGCTTAGGGCCTTGCTAAGTTACTAATCCTCCTGCCTCAGCCTCCCGAGCTGCTGGGATCACAGGTATGTGCCACCACACCTGGCTTAGCTCTTTTTTTTTTTTTTAATATTTATTTTTTTAGTTGTAATTGGACACAATTCCTTTATCTTATTTATTTGTGTTTATGTGGTGCTGAGGATCAAACCCAGGGCCTCACACTGCTAGACAAGCGCTCTACCTCTGAGCCACAGCCCCAGCCCCGCTGGCTTAGCTCTTAATGATTGGAAATCCAGTGATAGTCTTTGGACACCAACATAAGATCCCCTTGGGTTCTTAGGAAAGGTGTGGCAGTGACAGGCTCTGCCCTAGAACAACTAGATTAAAATTTCTGGTGCTGGAAACCTAGGATTCTGTGTTTTTATAAACATGGTAAAGTTTGGCCCCTGTGCAAGATATGGAGGTCCTTATTCAGAATCCCTGAGGCTAGAGCTCAAATTTCCATGTCCCCTTCCTGCTCTAACCACCTATGGTTCTGGGCAGAACTCATTTTTTTCCAACTTGGTCAGCCACATTTCTGCTGCCTTACTGGTCACTCCACAGACAGATGCCATTCCACCAGGACTCAACAAGCATGAGACAATAGTTATAAATTCATAGGTCAGAGGATGCAGCAGTCTGGTATTTGCACATATGACTTCCTCCCATGTCAAAAAGAGAACACCAACTTACTCCACCCACCTGTCACGACTGTGTAGAAATACCTCCATATTTTATATGGGACTCTTCAGTCAGGCATGGTGGCCCATGCCTGGAATCCTAGTGACTCAGAAGGCCAAAGCAGGAGGATTGCAAATTTAAGACCAGCCTCAGTAACTTACTAAGACGGTTTCAAAATAAAAATTTAAAAAATCTGGGGATGTGTGTGGGGTTCAGTGGTAAAGTGCCCTCGGGTTCAATCCCCAGTACCAGAAAAAAATAAAAATAAATTTAAAAATGAATTTCTGTGAACATGGAAATGACTTTCAAGGACTGTGGACAAGTCACTGCCAACTAATTTTCCAGTATTTGTAAGGATGACTTGGATTTCAACTCCAAAGTACTTTGAGCACTTGATATAAGGAACTCCCCAGAACTCTAGAACAGTGATATAGAAAAGAAAAACATGTGACTGGGGGTTTGTAATTCCGTGGCAGAGCATGTGCTCATCATGTTACAAAGTCCTGGGTTCAATCCCCAGCACACACACACACACACACACACACACACACACACACACAAAAGTGTTTCAAGAGCCTTATTATTGTGGTTGATAAGTGACTGGTTACTTCTGTTTAAATATGGTTAAGATGATTAAAAGGCTATTAATGAAGCTCGGGCATAATTTGGATCTTTTGTAGATCAGCTGACTTCAATCACTTTCTTTTATGGATGGTCACCATGAAAACGTGGACCAAAGGAATCTGAATAACAGTGTGAGTTAGTTCCGAGGATAGAACCCAGGGCCTAATGCATATTAAGCAAGCACTCTACCATTGAGCCACATCCCTTTGTTTTTAGAATAATAGTATCTCTGTTGCTGCATCCCTAAGCTCTGTCTTTCTTTCTTTCTCTCTTTCCAGGTCCTAGATACTGGGGTCCCAAGCTGAAGATAGCAACAAAAAGAAGGCTACATAGAGCCTCCTGGCTGCCAGGGCTTAACCAAAAATCTGCAAACACACCAGCATTAACTCAGGAGGTTGCAAAATGCAAGGAGAGAAAAAGGTAGGAATACAGGAAGGCATATGCTAACATCTTAGAATTCTTTTGTTCATAACAGTAACAGTAATGGCTACCATTGATTGTTTAACTTTGTGCTAGCCCTGGGGGAGAGTCCTTTAATGTAGTACCTTATTTAACTCATAATACTCTCCCTCTCTCCAATCACCAGACTAGAACTCTTAAAAAGTCTCAATTTCCTTACTCTCTTTCACAATGCAGCAGGGTTCTAAAACTCAAATCAAAACTCAAAGAAGATGGGGGGTGCTGCTCAGTGGTACAGCCCTTGCCTAGCATGCATATGGCCCTGTGGTAGATCCTCAACACCATAGAAAAAGAAAAAAGAGAGAGAGAGAGAGAGAGAGAGAAAGAAAGAAAAAATGACATTGAACCATACCATTTGAAGAGATTTGCACAAAATAGTGAGAAAAGCAATAATCAGAGAAATAAGGGTAATATTAATCTCTTTAAGAAACGACCTATCCTGGGCTGGGTGTATGGCTCAGTGGTAGCACACTTGCCTAGCATGCACAAGGGGCTGGGGTTCCATCCTAGCACCCCAAATAAAATAAAATATAAAAGGAAACTCATGAAAGATAATTGTGTGTCAAATAAGGAGAGGGAGAGAAACCTCGGTGAAGGATATTTAATGTCAGAGGGAAACTGTACATCTGGGCAGAGATGAAGACAGCGTGCCAGGCCATCCGGGCCTGACCTGCCCACATGTCCTGTTGTCCATGAGGCCTYCCTTGATGGATGACAGCAGCAGCAGTACAAGTTTTCTTTCCCTGTGAGGGAGGACTGTGCAAGGTTTGCTGGGTCCCGTGTTGCACCTGGGTTTCCGCAGCCCAGGCATAAAGACTCAGTTAATGTCTCTCCAGACATGGCAGGTCACAAGACCCCCTTTCCTCCTGGGACAGAAATCATAGCAGGAGCTAGTGAACTGTGGAGGAAGAATGATTCTTGCTGGAAAGACAGGCCCCAAGGGCTCTCAAGAGGTGCAGATTCCTTTGTGGTCACTAAGGTCCAAGTGACATCGGACCTCTCTTCGGTAGAGAGGAAGTCAGTCTTGCAAATGTGGATTCTTATGTGTGCATACTGATAGGAAAGTAAGAAAGCATTGGGCCCCTTACGGAACCAATTCATATTCTGGGCAAGACCCTGCAGCCATCAGGATTTATGCTGAGGTCCTGTCACCTTGCACAGGGCCTTTTGGCCTTGTGGCTGGGGTAATGGGGCACTTACATACCCAAGAGGCTCCAGACTTCCAGACAGGATCATCTCCTCCATCTAACCACTGCCTCTTTCCTCAAGGCCATGATGGATAGACAGTAAATATCTCCGTGAACTTACATCCTGAGAGTCCTCACCAGAGGGAGGGAAAGAAGCCAGTTCTCTCTCCCACTGGGAGCAGAGAACCAGCAAAGCCCACTCCTCAAAGATTGCTAGCGTCTCTTAAATAAGCTTTTCCTTTCCATTTTCTTCTTTTAATTATTTATCATCCATCCATTTATTTATACAAATATAAAATATATTTATATAGATTTATATAATATAGACTTTTGTGAGGCAGAGTGGAGGAGAGGGTCGGGAGAGCAGGACCCTCCCCGGTTATTTACAGACATACTGGTCGACAATCTCCGTGCATTTTTTGCACTTGACAAAGCAGCACCAGTGGAACTTGCAGTGGCAGCGCTCCACCTGGACGCTCTTGAACTGGTCATAGCCACGGCCACAGCACATGAGCTCACAGCCGTCCATGCCCTCTGAGGTCTTGTTGCAGAGGCGGCCCTGGGTGCCCAAGGAGCCCGTGGTCTCATTGCGCAGGCAGTAGTCAGGGCTGGGGTCTACGTAGACAAGGTCCTCTGGGGTGGGCTGGTTGAAGCGGCTGTTGACCAGCTCCAGCTTGCCCTTGCGGGTGATGCGCATGGCAGCGGCACTGTCGTACTTCTCCTTCAGCTGGTCCCCCACCTTGCGGAACTCAGCCAGCTGGAGCCAGCAGGTCTTGAGGCTGCAGGACCCTGAGACGCCGTGGCATTTGCACGCTACATCTGCCATCTTATACACAGCCTGAGCGGAGAAGAAGAAAGAGAAAATAAGAAGAATCCCCGACGGAGGAGGTTAAGAGGGTGGTGAGGACCAGGCGCCAAGGTGCATGCCTGTAATCCCAGGGACTCGGGAGGTTGAAACAGGGGAGTCGCAAATTTGAGGCCATCTGAAGCAACTTAGCAAGACCCTGTCTCAAAATTAAAAAGGGACTAGAGAGGCAGAGTGTTTGCCATGCACATGCGAGGCCCTGGGTTCGAACCTTAGTACCACATAAAAATAAATAAACTACAAAAAATTTTTAAAAGCGCGGGGGGGGGGGGGGGGCTGAGGATATAGCTCAGTCAGTGGAGTGCTTGCCTAGCATGTACAAGGCCCTGGGTTCAATCCCCAGCACTACCACCACCAAAAAACAAACAAACAAACAAATAAATACATACAATTTTAAAAGGGCTGGGGATGTGGCTCAGTGGTAAAGTGTTCCTGGGTTAGAACCCCAATACCATAAATCAATAAAAAAGGTGGGGAGGGTATCTATGGCCCAAGTACACAGAAGGGCAAATAGAAGAGGCAGATAATTTTCAAAAATCTTTCCAGGATCCTCAGTTGCTCAGATTGAAAGAGAAGAGAAAAAAAAAAAAAACAAAGAAAGCATTACACAGAACACTAGAAAGGCAACACAAGATATTTCTATTTGCTTACAAGAATAACATTTGGGGGTTGGGGTTGTGGCTCAGTGGTAAAGCGCTTGCCTTGAATGTGTGAGGCACTGGGTTCGATTCTCAGCACCATATATAAATAAAAAATCAAGGTCCATCAATAACTAAAATGAATAAATAAATAAAATTAAAAAAAAAAAAGAATAGCATTTGGTGCACACCTGTAATCCCAGCAGCTTGGGAGACTGAGACAGGAGGATCCCAAGTTCAAAGCCAGACTCAGCAAAGGCGAGGCACTAAGCAACTCAGTGAGACCCTGTCTTTAAATAAAATTCAGAATAGGGATGGGGATGTGGCTCAGTGGTCAAGTGCCCCAGAGTTCAATCCCCAGTAAATCACCTCCCAAAAAAGAATAGCACTTGGGACACTTTCACTGTTTATCAATTTCATATTCTATGAAATGCATTAGACTAAATTTGTCATTTTTATAATCAGAAAAAACCCACCCTCCCTCCTTCCTTCCTTCCTTTCTTTCCTGTTTAGCAAACCTAGGACCCTTGTGCATGCTAAGCAGGCACTCTACCACTGACCTACATTCCCAAAAGAACTCCATCTTTTTTTCTTTCTCGCTTTTAGTGCTGGGGATTGGGATTGAACCTGAGGCCTCATGCATGCTAGGCACTTTTTTTTTTTTTTTTTTTTTTTTTTGAGATGGAGTCTTGTGGTGTTGCCCAGGCTGATCTTGAACTCCTGGGCTCAAGCAGTCCTCCCACCTCAACCTCCCAAGTGCTGGGACTACAGGTATACACCATCATGCCCAGTTCAAAATTTCAGTCTTGGTCAAAGTCTCAATCAAATAAATAAAAAACCCTAAAATATGCCCAGCTTTTCCACAATCTGGAGCACAAGTCAGAAGAAAACCAAGAAAGAATTAAATGGTCTCTTTTCCTGTGTTGGTATTTGGTCACTAACTCCATAGTCATCAGGAGCCTCCCATGAACCATCACATCTGTAAGCAAAGCCACAGTCTTCCACCAAAGCATCTCCTAGACACTCCCCAGAAGATCCTGTAAGTATGGAGGAAGGTGCAGACCATGTGCAATAGGAGAGCAAGCTGGTGGGCCTACCTACGGGGTAATTAATTTGAAAACAAATCTACTCCAGAAGTCACTGAACTTCAACAACGTGGCGTGGATTTGAACTTGGGTTATCCCAAATCAAAATTTAAAAGCAAGAGTAGACCAGAAAGCTGCTTACAAAGTGCTTTTCAATGAAAGCATACTGATGCATTGTGTCAAATAACCCTGGCAGCAGGCCCAGAGTGCAGATGGTAGGATAAAAAATGCACGTCTGCTTCAGAACATTTTCTTATGCCACAGCTATTGTCACCAACTGAGTCAGGACTCGTTTTTCAAGGGTTTCTCTTAGCTTTCTTTTCAAGAGTCCCCAGATTGTGTCTTTATTCAGTGCTAAGCAGAGACCACTGCAGGTGCAAGAAATTGCATAACCATCATCAGCTCATAGGACTATTGTCAAAACTCTTCCTGATTTTTTTTTTTTCTGGTAGAGAATTATTCCCATTATTTTATGGTGGAGAAACTGAAGCTCTGGGGAATCTCAGTAATCTGTCTGGGGCCACCCAGAAGGGAGCCAGAATGGCGATGACTTCTGCTCTCCAATTTTGGGATTTAAAGGCGGCTTAGGGTAGGGAAGGGAAGAAACCCCACCCCAAGGTTAAAGGCAGCAGCTCTAGGCCCAGGGCACAAAGGAACTGACACCCATCCCAACAGGCACTTCAAAGAAAGGGACTTCAATTATCCTCTGGCCCAAATCCCCTGGGTCTGAGCTGCAGTCTGACATTCCTCTGGAAATGGTCCCTGGTGTAGAGGGGGATGGCAGGCGCCTGGAGCTGCAGAAAGAAGGAAGTATTAAGGGTCTAAAACTGTGTACTTTGCCACTAAGCAACTAGGGGAAGAGGATAAGCATCTCTAACGGGAATAAACTCTCAGGAGACCTGGGGAAGGAGAGTCAAAGCCAGACTTTGAGGAGTAAGGACAGGAATTTCAGCAAAACAAATTGGAGAGGAGGAACGTCACTGCCTGCCACTATCTGAACATTCATTCCAACCTTCCTTACTCCAAAGACATTGTGGAGACTGCAATATTTGTATTTTTTCATATTTTACTATTAATCTAATTAATTAATTTAGCATTAATAAATTAATTAATATGCCCCTTTTGTAGGAGAAGGAGGAGGGAGGGAAAAAAATCTCAGTTTTCGGCCTTTCCTGCTTGCTGACAAAAAAATAACAAAATGTGGGGCTGCGGGTATAGCTCGCTGGTAGAGTGCTTGCCTGGCATGCAAGAGGCTCTGGGTTCAAGTCCCAGGACTGTGATCATAATAATAGTAGTAGCAGTAGCAAAATGCTTTTCAAAATGTTTTGGTCTTACTTCTTGCCCTCTGGCAATGCCYTGAGTTCCTTTCCCACATCTACCTAACAGTGTGACAAGCTTGGAATATGATAGGAATGTCACGAGGATTAGGCCCAAAGCTTTTTATCTGAAAAATGCTTAGAAACCCTTGATGGCCAAAAAATACCAACCCACTAGTCTTGCCATCAGTGTCTAAGAGGGAGCTACCAGGGGCTCTTAAAGGCCAAGAGAAATTTCTGGCAGAGTATACCCAGGATTTATTTTAATGGCCAAGATGTCAGATCACAGATCTTTTTTTTTTTTCAATCCCTGCCTCCACTTAGTCCCTCCTGGAGAACTTTCTGTGTAGGTGTGAGGAAGTGGGAGGTGAATCCCTTTGGCCTCAGATAGTGATTGATGGCAGAGGCCTGTTTCTTGGAAAAGGGATAAAAAATAGAGAGGGACAAGAATTCCCAACCTAGAGCAGACAGAGGCAAAGGGAGAGATAAAGGGCTAGGGAAGAGGTGTGGAGACTGGAGGAAGGAGCCCCCCTCCCCCTCGCAAGCCTGGGAGACAGAGGAAGCTAGAGAAGGTGTGTGAGCGAGAAACAGGGCAGATGGAAGGGAAGGAGCTGCCTAGATAAGGCCCAGTGCAAACAAACAATTTAGGGCCATAAAGTGAGGAGCCAGCAGAAGAGGGGTCAAGACTGTGACTGAAAGGGGAAGAGCAGATGTCTCCCCCTATCCCTCCAGGGCCACAGATTAGGATACATGCCTGGTCACCTCAGCATCTGCCACAGTGCCACACGGGGAGCTCAGAGCAGAGACTGCAAGCGGCCTCCTCCATGAATTTGACCTCTTACTAGAAGGGGGAATATGGGAACTTCTCTTTGCCTGGTCACATGTGTTCACCAGTTCTTGTAAAGAAATATAGATGGCAATCCCTGTCCTCGAATAAGGTAAAAATAGAGTGAGAGATAAAATACCAAGAAAAGTATAAAAACAATCCACTGAGGTTCAAATGTGAGACTAAGGGAAATGCAAAAGATGTTAAGGACTAGGTGGTATTTGAGCTAGGATTTTTGGTGCGGGTAATCAGGGACTGAACTCAGGGGCACTCGACCACTCAGCCTATTTTGTATTTTCTTTTGAAACAGGGTCTCACTGAGTTGCTTAGCACCTCAGTTTTGCTGAGGCTGGCTTTGAACTTGCTATCCTCCTCCTGTGATTAGAGGCGTGCACCACCCCACTCAGCTGAGCTAGGATCTTTTTATTTTGTTGTTTTGTTTTTGAAGCAGGGTCTTGCTGTGTTGCTCAGGCTAGTCTCATACTCCTGTACTGTAGTGATTCTCCTGCCTCAGCCTCCTGAGTAGCTGGGACTACCTCACCTAGCTAGGATCTTAAGAATGGGTAGAAGGTAGGCATTCAGGAGATACACCCATCTCACTGATCACTCTCTGCTCCCTGAGTTAGACACCCAGGTGGACTGCCAAACAGAGGAGGCCTGGGGAGACTGGCAGCTCAAAAGATACCCAGAGTGGAAGTCATCGAGGACAGTTCCAGTCTCTCTGCTCTAGCTTACTCCATAATAACCACAGACTAAAGCTAGGACCAGAACTCCAAATGTCACAGATCAACCTCCCCTCCCCACATACCATTTCTTTTTTGGTACCAGGGATTGAACTCAGGAGCACTCGACCACTGAACCACACCCCCAGCTCTATTTTGTATTTTATTTAGAAACATGGTCTCACCGAGTTGCTTAGCGCCTCACTTTTGCTGAGGCTGGCTTTGAACTCTATCCTCCTGCCTCAGCCTCCTGAGCAGCTGGGATTACAGGTGTGTGTCACCACACTTAGCTCCACATACCCATTTCTGACTTAAAAAAAAACCAACAACAACTAGCCTTTGGATGGGACATATAAGGAAGACATGGATAAATAACCAAGTCTAATTTCTACTTGATGTCACACAGTGGATAATGCTAGGTCTACACAGGTACTGAGTCCTGACAAGCCAACATTACAAGATCCCGACTCATAGAAAAGACATGTCCAATTCCATTTATTTGATATGTACTCCTATAAAACATCAGTTGATGTTTTGAACTTTTGATATATGAAGATAATTTTTGATATATAAGACATCTTAAGAAACATATCTATATCCTGTTATTGAATCACCAGTGAACCAACCTTAAACTTCTGACCTTATTTCTTCTCAAGAAATTGCTGTTCTTATTTTTTAGCTTGTGTTGGATTTTGCTGTGGCGTCTCACTGGGGACTCACAGTCAGCTGGCTGGACACATCCCAGTGAAGAAGTGTGTGCTGCTTCCTGAGAGGCACTTTGCCAGTGTTCAGACCTTTGCACTTTCTAGGGGGAATCCTAGAGGCCCAGTCACATTGCCCTCCGGTGCCTGTCAACATCCACCACACTGAACAAGCTAAAGGCAGAGCTTCCTGCCTGCAGGCTTCCTGTGGCAGAGGCAGACCAAGGCAGAGCCAGACATATGCTTGGAGAAGGATGCTCATGAATAAGGTGCAGGCAGAAAAGGGGCATGCTCTCGGCACTCCACAAAGGGAAACTGCCCGAGAATGTTCTGCACAAATGAGAAGCCAAGCTCCCCTAATTTCAGCTTCTACTGATATTGAAGCTTAGAAAATGGCTGTTTTCAGTTGAAATTGATGAGACACGGTGCTGCAGCCTTAAAAAGATGGCTGTCTTTTCTCATTTCCACTACTGTTAACAAAAAAAAAAAAAAAAAAAACCTCTTAGCAGAGACCTGATACACCTGTACTGCTCTGGAGGCTGAGGCAGGAGGACCACAAATTTAGGGCAGCCTCAGCAATTTCAGGAGATAAAAAAAATAAAATAAAATACAGGAGCTGGGGTGGTGGCTCAGCGGAAGAGCACTTGTCTAGCATGTGTGAAGCACTGGGTTCAATTCTCAGCACTGCATACAAATAAATAAAATAAAGGTTCATTGACAACTAAAAAATATTTAAAAAAAAATAAGATTAAAAAAAGATAAAAAACTTCCAGCAGAAAAGTATGCTTGTTTGAATGTGCTTTTCAACTGGTGTTCTGGATATGTGTAGCAGCAGCTCTTAAAAGACAGCTCTGGGACTTACCTGAGCCTTTAACAAATCATAAATCCTGGGCCAGGTCTAATGGCCTAAACTGCTAATTGTCTTCTCTGTTTAATTGCAAAGGAGAACAGTTCAGGTCAAGGACTCTGCTCCATTAGTCTAGAATCCTGTTCCAAATATTACACTTAAGTTCTACAGGGACACAAGTCCTATGAGGTGACAAGTAAGGTTTCAAAAATGAGATTTGGGACCAAGGCATGAGATTCAGCACATACTCAGGAGGCTGAGGCAGGAGGATCATTTGAGCCCAGGAATTTGAAGACCAGCCTGAGCAACATAGCAAGACCCTGCCTCAAAAAACAAGCAAGACAATAACAACAAAAAGTGACAACTGAATGTGGCCAATGGGAAGCGGAGCCTCGGGAGAGGGGTTTGTTCAATAATGGTACCTAGGTCAGCAACGGTAAGATCCTCCTCGGTTGGACGAATGCACACACTTCCTTCATGGCCAGGCCACAGCTCCTGGCTCAGCCCAGGATGGGCCAACTGGCCTGCGGTGTGTGGGGAGGGGAGGGTGGAGGTCCTTCTTACCCTTCGACCTGCCTCGTTGTTCTGCAAGTTCATGAGCACTCGGCCCTGCTCCTCTGATCCCTTGGCAAAGTTCTTCTCCCGTTCCCGGGCATCCACAAACTCCTTAGCAAAGCGGTAGCCATACTCCACATTGTCCCCACAGCCACCCCACAGCCAGTCCCGGGGGAGGTCCTTGGGCCGTGCTGTCCGGCTGCAGCCACAGGTAGAAAGCTCACCCTCGCGGCAAGCACGGCTGATGGCGTTCACCACCCCGGCGGCGCTCACAGCGTAGGTGAAGGCGGTCTCCCGGCTGCCTGCAAGAGGAGACAATACGGTGTCAATTAGGCCTTTCCTTTTCTCCACTTCCTCTTTAAAAAAAAAAAAATTGTAGTTGTAGATGGACCGCATACCTTTATTTTTTTATGCATTTATTTTTAAGCCTCTGCTGTGTCCCTCCCAGGGGTAGGAAACACTGTCTGGAGGGGCACTTGCTCTTCCCACAGCTCTATTTGCCTCTTTTTTACCCCTGCCTCTTGCCCTTAGCTCAACCCTATGAGGAATCCCCCCAGGCCTGGCCTCCGCTCATATTCATTACAGAGAAGTCTATAGGACTCCAAGATTCCCAGGAGAAGACCTCAGTTGAGGGAGGATGGCAGCCAGAAATTTATGGACCACATGAGACCAGCAGAATGAGATGGAGAAAGAAATCATGGGATCAATAGTAGAAGACTGCATCCTAGCAAAAACGTCTCCCTCACAGATGCAATTCCTCACCACTCTGTGAGCTACACATCTGTCTTTTTTATTGCTGCCRTGTTATCTAGCAAGGTAGTGGCAGAGACCAGGAATGGAAAGTGAACTAGAATTTCACTGTCCAAGCTGTTTCCCTCTCTTTTCCACAGGATCCACACTGCCTCCTAACTCAAGAGCAGTAGGGAACCACACCAATGGCACCTACAATTTCAGACACTGAGAATGGTCCCTCTAAATATCCAGACCACTTCCAACAGAAAATCCCAACTATATTCCTTTTGATTTCTGAAGCAAATCGCTTACCCCCCATGATTTATGTTCTACTTCAATGAAAATGTTTATTAAAAAACAATGCTCAGCCTCCAATGTGCATATCAAAGATGAAAATGAGACTTCACATCCACCAGGGTGACCATCATCAAAGATACAGCTGATAACAAGCTGGTTAAGGGTAAGGAACCCTCCCGTGCTGTTGACGGGAATATTAAATAGTGCAGCTGGTTTGGGAAACAGTCTGGCAGTTCCTCAAAAGGCGAAACATAGAGTTGCCATATGACCCAGCAGTTCCACTCCTAAGAATGTACCCGAAGGACATGAAAACATGTCCACAGGAAAACTCACACATGAATGCTCATTGTGGCTCATTCATAATAGCCAAAAAGTAGAAACAACCCAAATATCCATCTGTGGATGAATGGATAAACAAAATAGGGTATTGTCCATACAATGGAATATGGAATATTATTCATCCATAAAAGGAATAAAGTCCTGACACATGCTACAACATGGATGAACCTTTAAATCATTATGCTACATGAAAGAATCCAGGCCACATAGTATATAATCCAGACTAGGCAAATCCATAGAGACAGATTAGTGGTTGCCTTGGGCTGGGGGATAAGGGGATGGTGAGTGACAGTTAAAGGGTGTGCACTTTTTCCATGGGGTGATAAAAATGCTCCAGAATTATTGGTGATGGTTGCAAGCCTTGTGAATATACTAAATGCCATTTAATTGTATACTTTAAACAATGCATTATAAAAACAAAGCAACAATAACAATAAACAGTAAACTGTAAGGGATGTGAATTATTTCTCCATAAAGCTGTTTTAAGAAATAATCAATAATACCTATGCAGACACAGATGTGGAGGTGGGGAGTGGTTCTTAGCAATAAACAGGTCCAATCCTGGTCTCAGCACTGGGCAAAACTTTCTATTCTCTCTTTCTTCCTCTCCTACATCTCCAAGGTGAAAAAATAGACATCCCACGGTCCCATCTTGGCAGATGCAGACAGCAGCAGTCTCCATCAATTAAAAGGTCTGCAGTGATCCCCCACTTGGCCCTACGTCTTCATTACCTCAGCACCACAATAACGTGTACCACCAGACCACACTGGGTGAGTCAGTTTTTCTCAATTAACCAGGGGCCAACTTCTGGTCAGTAGTGGAATAGGAATGCCCCAAGAAAAACCCAAATGATGGTGGGAAGTTCTGCTCATGATTCAGCCACCAGGACAGATGTTTGAACCAGTGCTGAATTACAGAGTGGAGGGATCTGGTCTAGGGAGGTAGGACTGTGACATTGAAGACCGTGATGGTAAGATGGCTAAAGAGTCTCTTGGTGACGCAGGTTGGGTCCCACTTTGAGGGATTCATCTCTGAGAAATCTTTCTAGCATGTAGCCTCAACTCCCTGATGTGGTGTCCTGGGAAGGAGTCTTTGAAGCTACAGCCCATCCACTGGCAGCATTCCTTGTTCAGAATTCCTCAGGGAAGCCAGAGGGGCTTTCAAAGCAAACCATTGCATCTTTTTTTTGTTTGTTTCTGGTACCAGGAATTAAACCCAGGGGCACTTTACCACGGAGCTGTACCCCCAGCCTTTTTTATTTTTTGAGACAAGGTCTCCCAAAGTTGCTTAAAGCCTCACCATGTTGCTAAGGCTGGCCTTGAACTTTGTGTTCCTTTGGCTTCAGCCTTCTGACTCCCTGGGATTACAGGCATGTGCCACCACATCCAGCCTGCATCTTTTTAAAATGACTTGATCACCAGAATGTTCTTCGTATTAAAAAACCAAAGTCTGCCTCCCGACAACTTCTGCCTGCTGAAGTGACACTGTCTAATCCTTTTTCCATTTGTCAGTTCTTCAGTGTTTGAAAACAAATAATATGCCTTTTATGCTTTCTTTTTCCAAGCTACATATGTCTGATTTCTTCTACCATCCTTTAGCTAAATGCTTTCAGAGTTGAATCAGCCTTCTCAGAATTGCCTTTTAAAATAAAATGTATTTGCAGGTGAGTGTTACATATCACCAGATACTAGGTACTCTGACAGTTCCAGTCCTCAGGATGGTTTGGGATCAGAACATGCCCTTGGGTGCATTAGCTGTCACTTCTGTTGGTCTAGGAGAGGCCACATCATTAGACACTGGCTGTGCGTAGCTCTGCCTGCATGGGGCTCTGTTTAGGTTTCTGGAAGCAAAGCACTAGAGCTACCTTCAGAAGAAGAACTTGAGGCTTTAGAATGGATGAACAACGTGGGGGGCTTATCTATCTGTGAAACAACTCAGAGTTACAACTCAAACCACTCAAAGATACAAGGCTAATAAACCATCAGCCATAGAGCTACTGGTTAGGCCCTGAAACTTCTCTCCTTCCAGGCAGACAGCAGAACAGCATCACACGTGTCCTTTCACTACCACAGCAGCCCAACTAACTGCCAGGAAGGTGCCTCCGGGCTCCTCAGGGGCCAGGTGAAGTGCCAGGGCTCCTCCAAGCAACTGCTGCCCTCTGGTGATAGACTTCTGCAGCAGCTTCAAAGAAGGAAGAAACCTCTTGGAAGTCCTAGGCCAGATAGTAAGGTTTCTCAACAGGAGCTACTCTGTCTAGGGCCAGTGGGAGAGAGGGAGGACAGCTTCTCAGGAAGTATGGGCCTTCAGGAAAGCTACAAAAAGGATGGGGAAAAGCATCCAGTTTGTTACAGAAGAGGGTACAGTGGGAGGTGCTTTCTTCCACGGGGCTGCCTTCCATGGGTCATTCCGCCACGCAATCTGAACCCAGAAGAGTGCTAGGGCACTTTAATTCCTAGAAAAAAATGACACCTTCTAGACTTCACCTGAATGAAACAGCACATCAAAGGATCCAGCCAGTGGCAGGCACACATTAGGGCCTCAATAATGGTCTGATTCCTTGAAGTGTCTCTGTGGACACAGGGATCATGCTAGTGTCCTCACCCCAAAGGCAGGATAGGGAATGCTGCTAAGACTTTCACCAGGAAGAAGGGACGAATACCAAGGGAATTCTAGAAGAATCCACAAATTGTGAGTGAATCCCACTTAACCCCCAAGTCCACTCTTTCAGAAAAGTTGTCCCCTAAGGCTGTCTCAGGAACACAGGAGCATTCCTTTCTATGTACCTTGATCCCCAAAAAGAGAATGAGCAGTTAAGTTCCAAGTATACTTTCCCCCATTTTTATTTCTCAACATGGGATAGGGGAAAGAAGTCTGGAACAAGTGGGAGGGGAGCGGGCCTCCCAAGCATCCCTGGTAATACAGGATTTTAAATCACTGGCTCCCCAACCCCCCTGCCAATGGGAAAGCCCAGCCACAGGTAACTCCAGAATGTGACCTTCTGATGGGAAGCTGTCCCGGGAGAATGTGAGACAGGACAGAATACAGTGCTCCAACACCTTCCTTTTATGGCCCTGGGGATAAGACCTAGTAGAATGGGGCCGGATTTCTCGATTTCTTGCCAGGGAGGGGAGGATTGCATTTCAAAAGGACCTAAAACAATTAGACCTCAGATCACACCTCTATCTAAGCCATAGGGCAGCCAAAGAATCCTAGACCAGCAGTGGGAGAGAGAGAGGGACAGGAATCCGGGAAGACATGGCCCTCTCATCTTTCTTCTTTAGTCTGTCCCCTTCCCCCCCCCTCTCTCTCTCACACACACACACACACACACACACACACCTTTTCAAATGAAAAAAGCTAAAACTGGATCTGGGTTGGGTTAATGACAGCTGTCACCAATTTGGTCCAAAGTTTCTATCTCTTGAGGGTCCAAGTGGAAGAGGCAAACATCTTACAGCTATTCAGGACAACAATTTTGGGTTCTCTACCCAAGACTCTAAAAAGACTAAAAGGGAGGCCCTTGTTGTCTTTGAGACAAAAGCCGCAGTGATGGGCGGGTCTCCTAAGCCACTCTAACTCAACTCAGATGTTCCACCCAGGGTGAGTCACATAGAGCCTGCCAGGGTGAAGCCAGAAAGCAGAGGCTGCAGGGACATGGAGAATTATCCAGAATGCTGCTTCTTTATGTACCTGCCTCTCTCCCTTTTTGCATGCTGCTGCCAAGCCTAGAAAGAACCCAAGGAGGCCCCCATCTGGGCTCTTGATGTGCCAGTCCTGAAACAGCTTAAATGAACCCAGCCAATGTGAACACAGTTCCTGTGGCCAAGTCATATTTTAGTGGCCTCTTACCTATCTGCATGACTCTGCCAAAGACAGACGTGTTGTCCACAGTGCTGCAATTCCATCGCCTCTGCCGGAATTGGTACTGGCACTCCTTAATACCCGTCTTGGCTCCCTCCCCGATGTAGGCCATGTGTTCCTGGTACAACTGGCACAGCTTTCTCTGGCCAGGGGAGAGCCCGGGAAGCTGACTGCACACAGGCTGTGCACCGATGATAAACATCTCTGGTCTCTGCACCGGGTTCATAGCTAACGACCTACAACAGCAATCCAGAAAGCAGGGCGGGAAGGACAAGAAGTGAGTGTGTGCCTGTGAGCAGCATAAAGTCATTCAGCTAACACAATTATGGGATATTTTCTGGTACCAGGCCCTGAAGGACCTAGGACTTAGAAGGGGGAATTAGTAAAACAGAGTTCAAGTCTTAAAAGGACACAAGGGAAAGCTAGGCGTGAATGCAAATGATACGTGAGATGTCAAATGCCTAAGACAGACAAGATTCTGGATCTACTATGATCATATAGGGAAAGCTCTTCCCCCAGGGAGAATCCTGTATAAGGAGATGGCCAGAATTTGTACTGGTCTTAAAGGATGGGGAAAAGACAGAGAAGGAGGTGGGGTGGGCAGGGCAGCTGTTATTCAAGGCAGAGGGCAAAAAGAGCCAAATGTTGACACATGCCTGTTGAAGGAGTAGGAATGATCGGTTCAGTTTAGCCCTAGTGCAGGGTACATGATGGAAATCAATTCCCTTCAATGGAATCCCTATGCCTTTAAAATAGAAGTCCAAGTACACACATCATAATGTATTCTAAACATTTTCACTTCCATATCTCACTCCACACATGCCCTAACCCACTGTTGATCAGTTCAGGGATCTCCCTTTTTCTCATCATCCATTAGACATAATAAAGCATTAAATTAGATGAGAAAGCTACAGACTTGCCATCTGAATAAAAATGTAAGTGGGTCACAGATCATGCAAAATAAGTAGTGATCGTCTGCCATTTCCATGTTACTTGGCAATGACAGTGGTCTTAAAAACTCAGAAGGACACACATGGTCTTGCAAATCCCTCATCTAGTCTTTAGACTGATAAAAACAGGAATTTTACTCTTTCTGCTGCTGCTGGCAAAAAACCAAAAACAAACAAACAAACAAAAAAAAACCCAGATATCAACATACCCGTTTTTTTAAAAGTATTTTTTTTTCTGTAGTTGTAGATGGACGGAATGCCTTTATTTTATTTATTTTTATGTGGTGCTAACAATCGAACCCAGTACCTTACACATGCCAGGCAAGCGCTCTATCACTGAGCTACAGCCCCAGCCCAACATATATATTTTTGAGACAGGGTCTTTCTGTGTTGTTCAGGCTGGCCTTGCACTCCTAGACTCAAGTGACCATCCTATTTCAGCCTCCTGAGTAGCTGGGACTATAGGCATGTGCCACTACACCCAGTTTCATAGGGTTTTTTCTCTCTTTTTCCTTTCCTTCTTCCCCATCCCTCTCCTACCCAGTTCTGGGGATCAAATCCAGAGCCTCCTGCATGCTATCAATATTTTTATTAACTCAATAAAAAAGCTATTTATAACAATTCATGAGGATAGGGAAAGGTTCAAGAAAAAGGGATTGTTAATAGGATCTAAGAAAAAAAAATGAACAAATCCTTTATTTTCAGGGAATCTTTACCTCTAAGAACTGGAGAGCGAAAAGGAGCTCTCCATCTTTGCCTAGGATGCAAGAGGCCATATCAGGTTCCTATGGATAGGGTGTGATCACAACCCATGGTGCCCCCTGCCCACACCTTGATTACCCAAGGAACCTTAGGGTACAGAGCAGGACCAAAGCCCCTCTCACTCACCACCAGGAGTTGGCATCCGTCAGCAGCTGGGCCCAGCTGGAGAGCAGAGCTGCAGTGAAGAGCAGCAGCAGGCTGGGCATGGTCGGCCTCAGCCCGCCCCAGTGCCCTGGGACAGACAGCTTCCAATGTGGGGCTTCCTGGAGAAATGAAGGGAGAATCAGGGTGCAAACGCAACAGACACAGAAGACTAGGAGGGAGCAGAGGGATGCAGAAAAGCGCTCGGATGGGCTCTGGGATGGACCTGAAGTCAAATCCTCCCCAAGGAAATTCAGCCCTTTCCAACTTCCACCTCTTACTGCTTATCCTCTCACCATAGGGCTTTTAGGCCTCCTACCTCAAACTGTGGGACTTAATTCCAACGGAAATAATGAGCTGAGAAACCAAAAAAGAGGAATGAAAACAAATCATTTCAAGAACAGAGCCTGTGCAGTGCTGCGCATAGGAAGCTGCTTTGACGGTTGCAAGGCACACTTTCCCTTCTTCTAGAACATCCTGAGAAAGGGGGACCATCCCCTCCACATCTCACCCCAGCCTGGAGATCTACTTCTCTGACCTTCAGATTCTTCTTCATAGGTGAACTGGATTTAACCCATACTCAAGTAGGAGTCTTCCCTCTCCATCTGAATCCTTCTCTCTCCAAACAAGTTTTCTGAATCCCCACCCTTGTTTACCCTTAAAGAATAATAGCACAGAGAAGAACGAGGACTTTTCACTTTTTCAAGGCACTTCTCTGAGAAATGTAATAGCCGTGCAGCCAACCGCGAGCCCTTGTCCCAAAAGCGTTGGTGGCCTCTGCGCACCCACGGTGAGGTGAGGCGGTGCCGGTATTGCACGGAACACCTTTCCCGACTGCGGGCGAGCGACACAGCCGGCTCCTGGGCTGCATCTCTCGCATCCAACGCGTGTGGTGAGGACGCATCTTTCACAAGCCACCACCCATCCCGTGGAGCACCAGAGAGCTCCACATCTTTGCCTTGCGTTTTTAGAAACTAATGCCTGTGCTCCACGTCCCCCAAGCCTTTGGAAACGTACGGGAAATCCATGCTTCTGGATCCTAGAGTGGGCAGATAAACACACGCCCCCTCCTGCTCACCCCCACCTCGCTTCTCCCTTAGCTTCTCTCTGGGGCGGGACCCCACATCTCCAATGAGTCTTCTTCCCAGGACCCCTTACACCTCCAGCCCTACACACACAAGCACACGGCATTGCTCCCGGCTGCCCCCGCCCCCATCTCACCACGCCAGTCCGTGGGCTCTGGGTCTCCAGGCTCTCCGGGAGGGGGCGGCAGGTGCTTTGGGTCATCAGCTTAGGAAATATTTTTGTCCTGGGGCCACCAAGAGAGAAAGGTGGCCTGAGCAGGATCCAGGAGCGCTGGGACACGGCCTTTCCCCACCCCCTTTTGGTTTTTCTCCTTGAGGTCTCAGCTGGGGCGGGGGCACCAACAGGCAGGTGTGTGGGGCCGGCAGGGGGCAGATCAAAGAAGAGGCTCGCTCCTTCCCTTTGTCATGCAGAGGCAGCTCGGAAATGACCCGGCCTCTAGCGTGGCCGACTAACAGCTCCCCACACCCTACTTTCCTAACAGACCTCTCCTGCCTCCTCTAAAGGATGCCCCCGCCCCCTCCACTCGACCCCCCATAAATCCTCCCCCGTCCCTCAGGGCAGGAGGTCTGTGAATGCATCGACTGGAACCAAGAGAGATGGAGCAGAGATAGGGCTGGCACCAGAAGCTAATGGCTTTATGGAGGGGAGGGGACCTGGTCCAGGGTAGGGAGGACCAGAGAAAAGCTTCAAAGAGTTTCCTTGTCCAAACATCCCCAACTCCACCTACCAGTCCTTCATGGGGACTAATTCCCTCCTGCTTCTCCAGCTCCCTTCTCTTTTCCTTCCCTCTGGCCCACCAGAATGTCCATCCCGACTACCATGTCCTCAAACACTACTCCCCCAAACACCCTATTCCCTGGGCCAGTGGCCACACATCTATCCTCACACATTCCATCACCAGATAGCTCAGTTTTCTCCCCACTGGTGACACTTCCTATCCCTCTGTTCTCCCCCCACACCAGCGTCTCTCACCTCCCTCACACCCTTCCAACAGGCTCCAGTGAAATCTTCCTGGCCCCTCTCCTCTTAGGTTCAACTGAGGCCACATTGAGGATCCACTGAGTCTGAGCCAAGGACAGGAGCAAAGTGCCTCTAACGGTCCCTGTGGCTTTGACTGCCCCAGTGACAAGCTGTCAGGCCAACAAGGGTCTGACTTCCTAAGAGCTGTGAATCCTGCTCTTCCAGGCCTTATAAACATGTAGGGAGACAGGAATCTCTCCCAGAAGCTATTCCCACCACCCACCGTGGTCATTCTATCAAAGTCTCAGTCCAGGAAACATTATATTTTAAAAATTACCAATTAGCAAAAATAAATAAATAAATAAATAAAAGATCTAGCACATGTGGTAGCTTCTTTCACTGCCTTCCAAATGTGTGGTACTTGAAACTAAACACACACACACACACACACACACTACAGTAACCCATGGCATGTGCACACGCACCAGCGTCTCAGGATGCCCTGTCCTGTCAGACAGATATGAGCCACCCTATCAAGGGCCCCAGCATTGAAGCTGGGCAGCTGTTTGCCTGTGTTGCATTCTTGAACCAGGTGGAAGGGAAAGGGGAAAGGATGTCTTAGAAAGGTAAATGTTGTGATTGGTTTCATTATGTGGGTAGAAGGGACACTTCTTGCCTCAAGCCCACTGGGGAGGAAGGAAGCTGTGTGGTTTGGATTTAATGAGCAGGACAGATGGAAAGCCCCGTGGGTGGGTCACTGGTGAGATTTACAGCAGGACTCAGCCTGGGGTGGCTCTCTGTTGTGTAGGAAGAAAGATCTGGTAAATACCCAAAAGGCAGGGAAGCTGAATGCCTTCTGCTGCCTTTGTCATAACTACAGATGTCCTGGGAGATCTAAAAAGTTCCCCCTTCTGAAGAGGCCAGCACCATTTCATACATAACATACTGAGTGGTGGAGTATGTGGGAATCAGGAGTCCCTATTCTTTGCTAGTGCCTGGAAAGGCTAGGGCTGGGGGAAGGGAAGATGAAGAATTCTCAGTCAGGATCCTTCAGTGGGGAGGTCAGAATGAGCTGCTCAGACATCTTCTCTGCTCTACTTCATTCATTTGTTCATACATTCAGTAAATTCATTAATCAAATATGTATTGAGGGTCAGGCACAGCGGTGTACCCCTATAATCCCACCAACTCAGAGCACTGAGGCAGAAGGCCAGCCTTGGAAATTTAGTAAAACCCTGTCTCAAACTAAGGAAATATGAAGTGCTAGGGATTCAGTGTCTTTGGGTTCAATCCCCAGTTCCAGAAAAATTTATGCATTGAGGGGAGGGGATGGGTCTGGGATGCGACTCAGTGGTAGAGAGCTTGCTTAAAATGTGTGAGGCCTTGGGTTCCATCCCCAGCCAGGGAGGTAACGCTCCTATCCCATCCAAGTCCTCTCTGTGGCATGTCCAAAGTCCCTAACTGAGATCACACTGCCTTTCTCTACCCTTGCAACCGAAGGAGCACATATTTGAAATTAGGAATTCTAGGCTTTCTTCCTTTTTCTGCTAGGACTTGGTCATCAATTTTCATTCCCTTAAGGGGCCACATCCATCCAGCCCGGAATGAAGGCGCTGGCAGAGGGGAAGGCAGGAGCAGTTATGTGAGGGCTTAGGGAAAAAAATGGGCAGAAGTCTTAGATCAGTCATAACAGTGAAATAACCAATGTCTCCAGTAAGAGAAGACTCTATGCTGACAGCATAAAATTCTATTTAAACTAACATGGAATCCTTTGACATACTAATCTGTTTGTGTTTTTGTTTCTTGCCCTCATAATCTCTGGAAATGGTCTTGTTCACCATTTTCTCTCCAGTGGTTCGGATGGTGCACAATCTAGTGCTAGATAAATATTTGTTGACTGAAAGAGAAAAGCCCTCTTTTGGCTCTCAAGGAAATAAGAAGCAGACAGTGAAGGCCAGCCTATCATGGAGACAGAGTTCTTTTGACTTCCATCAGACCCAACTCCATTTGTCAGCAAGAAAGCGGCCTCTGTCGTCATATCCCCTTATTTCAGAATCTCCTGCTAACAGAGATCTTAGAGATTTGAGGTCCCAGTTTTGTCTTTGTCCTTTTCTCAAAGACATGAGTAACATCCAGCTTCTAGTATACAGTACCCTGCCGCTTGACAAGATAATGTGGAGACGTCTGAGGTGTTGCTCCCTGAGCTGCTTTGGTCTAGCTGGGGAAAACAAAACCCTCCCCGAAAGGAAGGCAGGACACAGAAGTGCCAGAGGAGTCCAAGGAGCAATTGCAGCCAGGATGTGGGATTTGCGTAGGGCCTAAAGAATGTGTGGGCTTTAAACAGAAGGAAAAGAACAGGAAGGATTTCACATGATGACGCGGTGCGGTCACAGAGGGAACATTTCAAGGTGTTTTGGAAGGGAAAGAAAGGAAGCCTTCAGCCATTCCCAATGTTTTCAGAATCACTCATTATGAAAAGCAGGTAGCCTCTCCACAATCTGATATGGGTCATTCAAGAGCAATTACCCAGGAACATTCCCGTGATGATGTAGGAACAGGGCCAAAAACTTAGGGAATCAGTTACCCTGGTGCTGCTGTTTTTGACCATGAATCTTCCTAGAGAGTTAAGAAGTAGGAAGTAAAAATGCTGATTGATCAGGGGCTGGAATTGTGGCTCAGTGGTAGAGCATTGGTCTAGTAGGAGCGAGGCCCTGGGTTCGATCCTCAGCACCACATAAAAATAAATAAATAAATCAAATAAAGGTAAAAAATGCTGATTGATCACTCCATCTTCCCAATCCTGCCTGTTCCTTGCCCTTCGGTTCCTTCCTTGGATCAGACTTGAGATCTTGGTGCTTTCTGGAGTCGTCCTCACTCTTTTATCCTGATGGCAAATCAATTGCTAAGGCCTCCTGACTGTGTCTCCATAGGATTATTATTATGATTATTTTCTATTCTCAGGATTGAACCCAGAGCTTTAAGCATGTTAAGCAAGTGCTCTACCACTAAGCTAGACCCCAGCCCTCTACAGTATTTAAAAAATTTATTTCCTACTCTTCACTCTTACTGCCATACTCTGAGC